ATATATGACCAACATTGTTTATCAATAGATAATCTGTATTATGCATGACCAACATTGTTTATCAATACATAATCTATATTATATATGACCAACATTGTTTATCAATACGTCATTTATATTATATATGACCAATACTGTTTATCAATACGTCATCTATATTATATATGACCAATATTGTTTATCAATATATCATCTATGTTATATATGACCAACATTGTTTATCAATACATCATCTATATTATTAATGACCAACATTGTTTATCAATACATCACCTGTATTATATATGACCAATATTGTTTGTCAATATCATCTATATTATTAATGACCAACATTGTTTACCAATACATCATCTATATTATATATGACCAATATTGTTTATCAATATCATCTATATTATATATGACCAATATTGTTTATCAATATCATCTATATTATATATGACGAACATTGTTTATCAATACATCATCTATATTATACATGACCAACATTGTTTATCAATACATCACCTGTATTATATATGACCAACATTGTTTATCAATAGATAATCTGTATTATATATGACCAACATTGTTTATCAGTACATCATGTATATTATATATGACGGTTGGTCATATATAACATAGATGATATATTGATAAACAATATTGGTCATATATAATACAGGTGATGTATTGATAAACAATATTGGTCATATATAATACAGGTGATGTATTGATAAACAATGTTCGTCATATATAATATAGATGATGTATTGATAAACAATGTTCAAACAATATTGGTCATATATAATACAGGTGATGTATTGATAAACAATGTTGGTCATATATAATATAGATGATATTGATAAACAATATTGGTCATATATTATATAGATGAGGTAGTGGTAAACAATGTTGGTCATTAATAATATAGATGATGTATTGATAAACAATGTTGGTCATTAATAATATAGATGATGTATTGATAAACAATTTCAATACGTCATCTATATTATATATGACCAACATTGTTTATCAATAGATAATCTGTATTATATGTGACCAACATTGTTTATCAATACATCATCTATATTATATATGACTAACATTGTTTATCAATACATCATCAATATTATTAAGGACCAACATTGTTTATCAATACGTCATCTATATTATATATGACCAATATTGTTTATCAATACGTCATCTATATTATATATGACCAATATTGTTT